GCGTCTCCCAGCTCGGGCCGGGTCTCGGGGTCTCGGGGTCCCTCGGTTCCTCGGTTCCTCCCAGCGGTGCGGCTTGGTCAGCCCAACCGAGTCGGGCGAGGGTTCGTTCCCCTTTGATCTTAAACTTTCGTAGTAGTAACACCTAGCTAATTTGGCTTGAGGATTGAGTATCGAAAGCCCACAGCCGGCTTTTCACAACTAGAGATAGTATCAAGTAGAGGTTTGCGATCGGTTCTACACCTCAGGCTGATAAGAGGTAAATCTCTCAGGTCTTGTTTTTGAAGAAGGCTAAATAGCCATTTGGTTATCCCAAACGCTCCAGGATGGTTTAGCAATTAGAAGAGTAAACTATGCCAGTCTCTTAGCAAGGAGCTGAACGTTTCTTTTTCAGGAAGGATCTTGTCAGGTGGCAGAGCTCTGGTTAAAGCACACATACCAACCAGCGTCATGCTATACGTGGATTTTGACAAATATCATTTCTGGGTACTTTGTGAGTGGCTTAAAGTTATTACCGGTGGTATTGTCATTGATGTATGTTTATGTGAACATGTTCTCTTGCCTTGTGTGAAGTCGTCAACTACCAGTTTCTACTTTTTTGTCCTCCTGTGTATGCTTTCAGTCTTTTTGTTTGAGGCTCTTCTTATTTTCTGCTAAACTTCCACTATCTTCTCCTGAATTTTTTCCTCAGCCCTTAACGCATTTTCACTCAGTGTACCTTTAGTAATTTTCTTCCACCAATGAAATAAATTCCAGGTCAAACTATGTGTATGCCTTGTATTTAAAAACAGTTTAGAGGTACCAACCATGTATGTCAGCGATATTTAAGTTAAGTACTGTGTACTTCAGGTTAAGTTAGGAAACAAGTTTTCTACCGGACAACATGCTTTCCATATGACAGCCAAATGAAATAGTGTTAACACTAAATACTTCAGACTTCAGGCATCCTCTTTTCCTCTTCTTGCACAGGTGCATTGCTCATTATTTGATTTCATGCACTGTTAATCTGTTTGCATTTTTTGCCTTTTAAAGTATTTCCTGTTTGTTTTCTGTTCAGATATTAGCCACATCATATATTTTTCTTATTGATTCACCCTTTCTTTTCCCACTGCTAATGATGGGTTGTGGTTATTTTGATAGGTTCACCATGTTGGGTGCCAGTTACAGGACTCACTTAAAACAAGCCAGTTGTATGTTTAACTCTTTATTTACAGCATGCACTGCTTACAGCCTGCTTTGGGCATAATCAGCAGGGCGATCTCCCACACCGTGTTTCTGTTATTTTGGAGGTCCCCATACTCACACTATAGAAGCTCCCAGGGAAATAAGCTGTTTGGGAATTTGTTTTCTCCAAGTCTGAAATGTGTATCTTTTAATTATCTACATGTTCAACATTTTTTTTATTCTTTCCTTATAATAGATCCTTTTTTTAATAATATTTTTTAAGATGAACGATTTTTAAGTGGATAAGTATGGAGAAGATAAGTATGTCTGTTTACACTTCTCAAATTGGTCTTTAGTAATCTAACTAGGAGAGAATGAACTTCCGGCAATCGTGAATATAATTTTTCATCTCAAATATAAGTTTTCTGATAGTTCAAAACTTTGCAAGTATGAAAATTTGCTCCGCTAAAAGAAAGTAAAATTGGCTTTGAAACTTTTTTCTTTTGTTTTTCTGTTTATCCTTTAGAAATTCAGAACAGGATGATGAAATAAAGAGAAAGGTCAGAATACACTCTTTCCCTCTCCCCAAAGTACCTAATTAACTCACAGATAGCTATCTAAATATTCAGTAATTTAACAGAAGTTGTTTGGGCATTGTAAGACTATGGTAGATTTCTTTTTTTCTATGGTTTCTAGATTTTCTCTCATGAATTTTGTTGTGTTGTTAAACAAGTACACCAAAATGACTATTTTAACAGGGCATTGTAGCACAGGGGGGTCAGTATACAGGAAGCAGCCCTCCTAGCCTAAAATTCAAGAAGTAGCTGGGGAGTGCTGCTTGAATAGTAGCTGTCTGGGCTCAAACTTGGGGTCCTCTTGCCTCAGCCTCCCAGGGTACTGGGATTAGAGGTGTCTGCCACCATGCCTGGCATTTCTGGGGAGTGGGTGGTGTTTGAAACAGAATTTCACTACTCTGGCCTAGTTTAGGCTGGCCTTGAACTCACTATGGAGCCCAGGCTGGCATCAATCTTGTGGTGATTTCTCCTGCCTCAGCCTCCTAAGTGCTGGGATTACAGATACCTATCACCATGCCCATTTTTTGTATTTTTACACTACGAAAGAGGAAAATGCTTGAAAAATAATAGTTGTCGTATCTATTGACAAGCTTAAGTGAAGTTATTGGCTACTGCTGTAATAAAACCATGGTTGTCTCACTTAAGTAAAAAAAAACAAAAAACAAACAAAAAAAACAGCTACCATTTGTTGAGCTGTTACTGAGCCAGTACAGAACTTACCTACCTCATCTAGTTAATTGTTCATCTTGCCAGAAAAGTGTCTTCATTCTAGCAATGAGAATTTATGAAGCTAGAACTCTTCTAAGAACTGTTTTTTACTTTCTGTCTGTATTTGCTTATTTAGGAAATTGCATATCATACAACATGTGACTTTTTTTGGTACCAGGATTCGAACTCACTACCTTGTACTTGCAAGGCAGGTGTGGTCCCATTGAACTAAATCCCTGGTTCCCAACCTAGTGTGTGTGTGTGACCTTTTTACTTTTTTTTTTTTTAGAGACAGTCTCAGTATGTAGTTGAGACTGACCTGGAACTCACTATGTAGTTCAGGCTGGTCGCGAACTCCCAGTGATCCTCCTGCCTCAGCCTCCTGAGTGCTGGGATTACAGGTGTGCGCCACCATGTCCGGCATGTGTGACCTTTTTAATAACTGGCTTCTTCAACTTCATTTAATATTTTAAAGGCCAATGTATGTTATATTCTGTATCAGAACTTCATTCCTTTTTGTTACTGAATAATACTCCACTGCACTTGTGGGTATATCACAGTTGTTTCTTTTATCCTTTAATATTGGTTTGTTTTTTATGTCGTTTTGTTTCTACTTTTGGTTATATATTAGTAAGATTAAGAATATTCTTATACTTGTGTTTGCGAGGACATATTTTTTTTTCTTTTTATTGAGTTTATTGGTACAATTTAGGTATACAATAGTTACATTCATTATTGGGATCCTGTACCTTTATATAATAGGTCTTGATTCTCATTTTTTCCCCTTGTCCCTGCCCTCCCTTCACCCCCTCCTCCCCTCCCCATTTACAAACACTTTATTTCCATTTTTTCAATTTGTAATATTTTTTCCCTCTCCCTTATTACCTTTCCCCCACCCTTCCCACTTTCCCTAAACCTTTAACCCTTTACTTCCTATTTCACAGTATTAATTATCTCATTAGGATCCTGTGTACTATTACAGTTTTTCACACCAGAGAAACTATTCGGTATTTCAGTTAAAGAAATCGCTGTATGAACATTAAAAATAGGAAATCCTAAAATAAAACTAAAAAGAAAAGTAAAAGAGAAAGGGCAATGATGTAACATTAAAATAATCCTTAATTCTGAAGATGAAAATGGTCCCTTAACATATTTAAATTGCTTCTTACTCTTGTAGTCTTATCTTATTCTTTTTTTCATTATTTAGAGAACACTTTATTAGTTTCTGTAATCAAACCCACGTAGATATGACCTTACATATTTAATACAATGTGTTACCCCTGTACAAATGGAAAAAATAAATAAAAATTTTAAAAAATTAACATTTTTAGACCAATATGGCTGTCCATTTCTGTACAATGCCAATTCAACACAGTAAATTGGGTTAACTTTTTCCAAAGTTGACAGCACCGTTAAAGTTTCCAAAAATTCAAATTATATATGTGTGTGTGTGTGTGTGTGTGTGTGTGTGTGTGTATATATATTTATATTTATATAAAAAGACCAATAATAGCAGTATGTTATGCATCAATAGCAGCAACAGCTTTTCCAGATTCGGCAGTCATCTGAACAAAATTATAGACATTCAGCACACTCCATTAAAAAAAAAAAAAAACAAAGAAAAGAATAATATCCAGAAAACAGCAAAGTTCTGTTGCTGTTATGGTACCTGGCACCATTTTTTTTTTAGCATCTTAATCATCATCTGGAAAGAGAACATTCTAGAGTAATATTAAATATAGCTGTGATAAAGCATGGTCACTACTGTGTATCATAAAGCAGGTACATTCCTACATCAATAATACTAGAATCAGTTTTGGTTTGAAATTTGCTTTGTCTGCAAATAAGATTGCTACCCCTGCTTTTTTCTGGGCTCCTGTCACATGGAGAATTGTTTTCCATCCTTTCACTTTCAGTCTATGGGCTTCTTTTTGCACTAGGTGTGTTTCTTGTATACAACATATTGTTGGATTTTGCTTCTTATTCCATTTTGCCAGTCTATTTCTCTCAATTGGTGAGTTGAGGCCATTGACATTGATGGTTATAACTGATATGTACTGACTTATTATTGACATGTTATTGGCCTTTTGTTGACTCTTTTTACTTTTTCACCTTCTCCTTTTAGTTTCTTGCCTCGCCTATTTGATTTGCTCTGTTGGACCTCGTGTTGTTGCCTTCATTGTCTTTTTCTAGGATCTTGTTTAGAATTGCTTGTAGTGCTGGTTTGGTATTCATGTAGTTTCTCAGGTGTTCTTTGTCGTGGAAGTATCTTATTTCCCCATCCATTTTGAAAGAGAGTTTTGCAGGATACATCAGTCTAGGTTGGAGGTTGTTCTCTTTTAGTACTTGAAATATCTCATTCCAGGCTCTCCTTGCCCCAAGGGTTTGTGTTGAAAGTCTGCTGTGATTCTGATGGGCTTTCCTTTGCATGTGATTTGTTTCTTTTCTCTTACTGCTTGTAGTATTTTGTTCTTCTGGTGGGTTTCTGGGATCTTGATTATTATATGTCTAGGTGTAGTTTTTTTTGAGTATGGCTAGTTGGGGTCCTATATGCTTCAGTTATCTAAATGTCAAATTCTTCCCCTCTGTTTGGGAAGTTTTCTGTCATTAATTCTGCAAACAGCTTTTTTAAGTCATTTGTATTTTCTCCTGCTACTTCATGGATTCCTAACAGTCTTATGTTATTCTTCTTTGCATCATGTAGGAGTTGTAGGATCAATTTCTCATGATTCCCTACTGTTTTTAAGAGATCTCTCTTTTCACAGTCACTGACTGCAATCTTCTATATCTGAGAGCCTATCTTCGCATTCTTTTATTCTGTTGCATACACTTTCTATGGAGTGTTTAATCTCCTGGATATCTGTTTGAATCTGTTTTATGGATTCCATTTCTTTCCTATGTTGGTCGTTTATTTTTTCCATTTTTTTCTTATGCTGGGCCTTCATGGCTTCTATCATGGTCCTGAGCTCATCTATTTTTTTGTCAGTTTCTGCTTTAGAGTCTCGAATCACGACTTCCATTTTGCTCACTATCTCTGTGGTTATCT